CCACCCCCCCCTGCTACCAGACAGTGAAGTGGACAATCTTCAACCAGACCTTGCTGCTCTCTTATGACCAGGTTTGTCAGGGCAATGAGCTCCACGCTGGGTCTTGCCCAGCCGCTCCCTGCAAGCGTGCACCAACCATGCTACTCTCCTGGAGCTCTCTTAGCTCCTGAAGGTGAGATGCACTCAGCTCTGCTCACACCATTCTCCTTTCCAGATGTCGATGCTGGTGATGAGCCTGAGACACGATGACAGCAAACCTCTGCTGAACAATTACCGAATGGTGCAGGACCTGAACGGACGGCGGGTGCTGTCGAGTTTCCAGACCACCCTCCCTTCAGTGAAGCACCTGCCTTCTGGTAAGGCACTCGTGAGCACGCTCAGGCTGCGCCTGGCTGTGGGGATGCAGGGATGGGGTGAGGAGCAGGAGTCAAGGCCTCCTGTCTTTTTTGGAAATGCAGCATTTGCATGGGTGGCTTACAGCAGTGCTGGTCTTGAGGTCCTGCTCTCCACCATTTATGCATTTGTCTTACTTTGGCAAGTGGAAGATTAGTTTCTAGAAGCCATTTTATACTAGGTCTTGCAGATATAACAGTAGTGAGGCTAAGGGATGTATGGTCAAGGGCAACCAGACAGGTCCTATCATCCCAACTAGCTTCTTCATCCCCAAACTTAATAGTGAAATTCAGTAGGAGCTGCAGCGAGCACCCCACTGCCAAGCCCCGTGGGAAGGGCAGTGCAGGATTTCCCTCCCAAAGGCTGTGCTGTGGGGCCAGGCAGCCACCCTGGCTGGGTGCACAGCCCCCGACCCAACACATCTCCATCTGCTCGTCCTCTGTGCCTCCTTGAAGGCCTTTCTTGTGTTGGTGGTTTCTAGCAATGAGTCGAAATTCCTGTTAACCCTCAAGTGTGACTATCGCTTTCTATCACCGAATTCTTGCCTGTTGCTGCTCTCTAAGGCCACTGCGTTTTTTTCTGTCCAACATCCTGTTTCTTTTCTGTTTTGATGGCTTTTCTTACACCTTGTGTCAAGGTGACTAACAGGAACAGCACACAGGTTTGGTCCCAGGCCCTCAGGCAATGCCTGGGCAACCACACACCGCAGTGCAAAGCACTTCCCTTCACCATCACTAGTGGCTGCAGGCTTTTAATCACCGTGGTCTTCAACCTGGCTCGCAGTTTCCCATGTGGCACTGCATCAAATGCTTCACTGAAGTTGGGAGAGATAAAATCTACCGCATTTTCTTTGTCTAGAGTATCACTTATCAAAGAAGGATATCAGGTTAGGCTGGCATGCTCTATCTTTGGTAAACCTGTTAGATACTTTATCGTATTTTCCATTTACCTCCAAGCCTTTCTTTTACCACTTTCTTGCAGAAGCTGTTCCAAAGCCTCCAGCCACCGAGGCTGGGGTGAGGGGGAGGTTACCCACCTCACCTCTTTCGTTTTTTCCTTTCCTTATTTGCCTTTTCTATCTGACAACTCTCACTTTAACAAAGCAACAAAGCCACAAAGCCCTTATTCCTGAAGTACCAGGACCAAGTCCCAGTACTCCTGGATGAGATTACTGAGTCCCTTGGCTTTTGTGCATGGGGTTACTGGGGTTTTCTCCCATCTCCATGCTGATAACTGCCTGCTTTAGCCCTGGGGCCATTGAGGTGCAGTGCTGTGGGGTCACGTCTTGCTTTGCTTGCAGCCGTGCGTCCTGTGCCCATGCTTGTTGATCGTTCCCCATTCACCCCCAGTTCGGGAGAGCCGCTCCTGCCCCTGGGTGCTGGGTGAAGGCGCAGATAGTGCCAGTCTGTGTGCAATACCTGAGCTGTGTACAGATGATAATGCCGCTGTTTAACAGCCACGCTGTCACCACGGGTAAATATTTGCCCAGCTCAGCTCCAGCCCAGCCTGTAGGGCCACCAAGTCATCCCTGTGCTGGGTTCACCCCCAGTTCGGGAGAGCCGCTCCTGCCCCTGGGTGCTGGGTGAAGGCGCAGATAGTGCCAGTCTGTGTGCAATACCTGAGCTGTGTACAGATGATAATGCCGCTGTTTAACAGCCACGCTGTCACCACGGGTAAATATTTGCCCAGCTCAGCTCCAGCCCAGCCTGTAGGGCCACCAAGTCATCCCTGTGCTGGGTGCTCTGCCACTAGCAGTGGCTGCCTCCTCCTGGGGAGCTGCTCACCATCTTGCTGCAGGCAACTGCCTCCATGGTTGCTGCCTGCAGGGCTCATCCCATGCCCCTCTCTGGGGTCTCCTGTGGGGCTTGGTGCAGTCATGGGATGCCATGGTGCTCAGCACCCTGTCTGCCTTACTTCCCAGTCAGTGGCAGCAACAATGCAGGAGCTTCTGGCTGGGCTCAGCAAGACTTTTGTGTGGGCTGTGGTTCAGGGTTCCTTTTCATTTTCCCTTCCCTCGATGTTTCTGGCGGGGTGTCAAGGCTAGGCTTCCTGCAGCAAGATGCTGCAAGCTGCTGGGAATCTGGCAGGTCTCCCCTGCCCACTCACAGGCAGCCTGAAGCCGTGCAGGCTTGACACAGCCCCTCCCAAACACCTTGGGCAACCTCTTGACTGCGCTGTGTCTCTCTTGCAGGTAGTGACGACTCAGCAGCAGGAGGTAGGTGAAGGGCTGGGCCGAAGGAGGGGAGGGTGGCTGGGGAAGTGTACCTGCCTGGGAAGGGAGGTCCTGGCAGCCACTTGCTGAGGTTGGAGGACAGGCAACCACAGTGGGTTTGCAGGGCTGCCCTAGCATCCATGCAACTGGCTCTCATCCTCTTGTCTCTTTGTCTTTTTTGCATAAGGACACTCCAGCTCTTCATTTCACGCAGGTAAGCGTGCTCAACCAAGGCTGCTGCCTTTCTGTTCCCCCTGCCTTCGGGCTACCAGGCTGCTCCAGCCTTGCCCCATCTCCCTCGGCTGATAGCAACAAGGGACCAGCCCCAGTGTAAAGCGCCTGTGCTTGTCTTGCAGGGGATGTGCTGGCTGTGCTTTTCGGGGTGCTCTTTGCCATCACAGCATTGGCCTTCCTGCTGTACATTTACAAGCACCGCAGCCAGAATACACGGTGAGAGATGGGGAGCTGCAGGAGTAGGGGGCCTGGGAGGTGGCATGAGAAGGGGGTTTTTGGTCTCTCAAGCAGCAAGATGGATTAGCAGAGCCCCACTGCCTGCTCTAAAATTGCCCCTCTTTTCTCCCCACCAGGCTGGACTCACCAACCAAATCCAAGGTGATCTACACTGCAGCCACCACTGAGAACACTGCATGAGCGCCAGTCCCACAGTCTGCACCCCAGCTCCCCTCACTCCCACCCCAGGCTGAGGCAGGGCCAGCACTCCAGCAGCCCTGAGTCACACGGGCCTGCCCACACGGACTGTTTGCCAGGGGCAGCATCTGGCCCCAGCAGGTATTTTTGTTATAAAAAAAGGTTAAAATGTATTAAAAAAAAAAAGTAAAAGTCTCACATGGTACCAGCCGTCTCTGCTGTCCTTGTGCAAAGCTGTGGGGCAGGAAAAGGCACCAGTGGAACTGGACCTACAGCGGAAAAGGGTGCACAGGGACTGCTTCCCAACCAGCAGAGACAGCATTGGCCTCTGTGCCCCAGGCAGAGCTCCAGAGCAAGCAGCACAGGGCTCCTTGCACCGCCTGGCCCTGCCCTCCATCGCTCTGGGACATCTTCCTCCTCTTATTTGTGCAAAGCATTGGAAAAACATAGCTGCAGCTTGGTAAGGCTGGAGAAAGGCAGAGCTGAGGGTGGCAGGACCGCTGCTTCCTCGCTGGCCAGGCCCCACCCAGCTCCCCTCCTGCTCCAGTGTAGCTGGAGCGGTCTCAAACCTACAGCTGCCTCCCGCTTTTCCTGGTGGCTCCCCTGCAGCTGGAGCCAAGCCCCAGGGAGCTCTACAGCCACACCAAAATCAAGAGAAACAGGTCAGGTCTGGGAGAGGAGGAACCTGCAGATCTCCAGCTCTCAGCAGCCTCCACCCCAAAAGCAGTGTAACCAAAACCCAGCCTCTGCTAGGATGGACAGAGCAGGAGCAAGACCTCCAGGCAACCGCGATCTGCAGCTGCCAGACCCTGCTCCAGTCGCAGCAGCACTGCTCACCACACACAGCCCTGCTTCTCTGTGGTATTTCTTTTTATTGGTATAAAAGCCCACTGTGGATAAAACCGCCTTCTCAGCCCTGTGCCAAATGGCAGCTTCTCCCTCCCAAGCCTGTGGTAAAGCATTAGGACTGGTGCTGCCTGAATATCCCCAAGTGCAGGAGAAGGCAATGATCCACTGGATTGGCCCCTTGAACCCCCTCCCCAAGCTGTGCTGGCAGCAGCTGCAGGCCTGCATCTCCTCCTGAGCCCTCTACCACCCTCCATGTGCGCTGGACCCTTTGGGCACCGTTTTTTCCCCATCCTTCCCCCACCCTGGGTGCTATCAGTGCCCTCACATCCCCAGCACCATCCTCCCTGCACCAGGATGCCAGCTCAGTGCAGCTACTGCATCCAGCACCAGAGCCAGGGCTCCCAGGGCAGCGAGGCTGGGCAAAGAGGCAGAGAAAGCAACACCACAGCGGTCACCCCAACTCAAGAGTGCGGCAGCACCTTGCAAAGCTGCTTCTTTCACCCTACAGTGAGGCGATGCGGGTCCCACACCCCAGCACAGGGGAGGGCATGTCTTCCATGGCAGGGGGGCAAAGCGATGGGTTTCTTTGGGCCCAGGTCTCTGGCAGTCCAAGGTAGCATCCTACCCAGGCAGGCTAACTGGGACTCTGCTCGTGGTGGGACTGGCTAAGCCAGGTCCCCCAGAACTGAGCTGTTCTTCAGGGGCTCCCAAAGGGGCATCAGAGAG